CAAATCGAGTTCTAATCTGTTACCGTTGTTGCAGGAAATCCTGATTTAGCCAAGGAAGCTACAGCAATCGCTATCTGGTCTCTGACCGAAAACTTTGATTGCTGGAACCGCTGGGTCTCTCTCTCTATAAGGAGAATCTAGAAGGTAGTGTTGCTCTTCTTAAAAAGCTTGATTCCCTCAAACTATCATCACCACAGAGTGATACTCTCACTCTCACTCAAGCTATGAAGATCTTCAGGGTAAAGGTAATGGCTCTTACACATCTAAGCTAACTGAATTTTACCCTCCACTAAGTTGTATTTTAATCTCTGACCGACCTAACCCTGTGATGGTTTTAGAACAAAAAGGGCATCACTGAAGGAGGAGCCAATGGGTTCTCTTTACAAAGAAGCTGACGAGACCTGCAAAATGATATTGGGGAGACTCTCCCGTGGAAGTAGCAGACTCAAAAGCACAACCATTACTGCTGTGGTTCTAGTTGCTGCAGGAGCCACTGCACTTGTTCTATCTTCAACCCGGTGGCTGCAACCGAGCTGAAAAATCTGGTGCCAATGCAATCACCAAAGCTTTCAATAACTAAGAGAAAAGAAAAACAGCAAACCTAAATTAACATAGTGGCAAGTTTTTGCTTATATTAAAGGGTCTCTAAAATGGTTTGGTCTGTTGTATAGGATAGGTCTAAGGATTTAATATCCTCTTTTGGGTTTTGTTTAGTGGGTCATTTGTCTATAATATCTGCAGCTCTAGTATCATTAAACCATAAGAACAAGTTTATCAAGAGCACATCTCATAACCAAGACCATAAAGATTAGATGCATACCTTCCAAGAAAACGTACATAAAAATGTTTAGTTTCATCGATTTTTATTCAATTTAAATGCTAGTAAAAGTTTAGAAAATAATCAATTCCATCAAATTTATCTCTATGAATATACAAACCATTTGTGTTACTAACCAAGAGAGAAAAGAATATGAGCAAAACGACGTCGTCACCTATTTGTCAAATTTCCCGGTTTACCCGTTCCCGGTTCTCTACTTCCAATTCCAAGCGGCAAACCAATTACAATGAAAAATTGTCAAAAGAGAGAGACTTCACCGCCAAAAGTCCCTTCCACGTTAATCGGCGATGGAGTACGAACGGCGACTTGAATCGGCGGCGAAAATTATACTCGCGGAGGAGTCGAAAGCAACCCACGCGCCTCCGGATTGTAGAGAATTCGGTGTCACGGCGACTCTAAAGCCTCACCAAGTCGAAGGAGTTTCTTGGCTTATACACAAATATCTACTCGGCGTCAATGTCGTTCTCGGTAGGGTTCTTCAATTCCGTTTTTAGATTATAATCAGAAATTCGAAGTAACTGATCTTCGATTTAAGCACACCATTGTTGTTTTCTGATTTCAATTGCAGGAGATGAGGTACTGATTTTGGTCTTCGAATGCTGTATTGTTCTCTTTAGTGATTGTGTTTGTGTTTAGTCTAATCGAAGGATTTGAATAGATGGGATTGGGAAAGACTCTTCAAGCAATTTCTTTCCTCAGTTATTTGAAGTTTCATCAAAAACTGGCAGGGCCATTTCGTGAGTCATTCAATGAGATACGTTTAATGTTGTTCAGTAAGGACAAATTCTCATGTCTTATGGGTTAATTTTGTGCTTAAATTTGGCAGTGGTGCTGTGTCCGTTAAGCGTAACGGATGGTTGGGTATCAGAGATAAGTAGATTCACTCCAAAACTTGAAGTTCTTAGGTATGTTGGTGATAAGGATTGTCGTCGGAGTTTGCGTAAGTCAATGTATGATCATGTCAAGAAGAGTTCTTCTAAGGTGAGTTTTGAACTGAGTCATTGAAATGGCAAAGTGAGAGTCAACATTTGTCTATTGAGTACTTCTTAAGAACTTGGGTTCACAAGCTCTGTGTATGATATTGTTTCTTCTTTTTTCATTTCAGGGATCTTTATTACCGTTTGATGTGTTGTTGACAACATATGACATAGCATTGATGGATCAAGACTTTCTTTCTCAAATTCCTTGGCAGTATGCTGTAATTGATGAAGCTCAAAGACTCAAGAATCCCAACAGTGTATGACTCACTTGTGCCTAACTATAAATGATATCGAGTCGTTAACTCAGTGATAGTTCACTGGTTCTTAGATACCTTATGAATTCAAAATTAAATTCCACTCATGTGTTAGCATTTATATGGTTTTAGTATACCTTGATAGACACCCTCTTTAGGCTTATATAGTTAAAAGCCGTTTGGTTAGTACTTAGTTTGTACATGACCTAGCTGTATGAACATTAGATTCTAGGCAACTGTATAAGAAAAAAGTTTATTATGTCACAGGTTCTGTACAATGTCTTACTAGACCAATTCCTCATTCCACGACGTCTCTTGATTACTGGCACACCTATTCAAAACAATCTTACGGAACTTTGGGCTCTGATGCATTTTTGCATGCCACTAGTTTTTGGGACACTGGACCAGTTCCTTCTCGCATTCAAAGAGACTGGGGAATTTTTATCAGGTTCGCTCGCACTAGCCATATAGTGCTCTGCTCACTTTGACATTTTTGTGTTGATAATCACTCGGAAGATGTTAAAAATATCAACTACTGTATGCATTCCCTCTGTTGTCAAAACAGGTTTTGATGCAGCAAATGTCAAGGAAACATATAAGAGTTTGAAATTTATCTTAGGTGCCTTTATGCTAAGGCGTACAAAATCTTTGCTCATCGAGTCTGGGAATCTGGTGTTGCCACCTCTCACGGAGCTAACTGTGTAAAGTCTTGTACTTTGTATTGCTAATCCTTTCGAGTAAAAGTATGTGCGGGTGCTCTATGTATATCTTATTGTTCTGTCTATTTTTTTTTCATGATAGAATGGTTCCGCTCGTCAGTCTTCAAAAGAAGGTATATACTTCAATATTGAGGAAAGAGCTTCCAGGGCTTCTCGCACTGTCTTCCGGAGCATCCAATCCTACGTCTTTGCAAAATATTGTGAGTTAGTTTGTCATGTTTATTATCACTCAGATTAATCTATTTCATAAAATGCTTTTGTTATATTTAGTGAAAGATATGCAATTTTTATTTATCTCCTGATCTGTTTCCTTGAGCAGGTGATACAGCTAAGAAAAGCATGTAGCCACCCTTACTTATTTCCAGGTATTGAACCAGAACCTTTTGAAGAGGGTGAACACATTGTTCAGGTATCCTAAATGCTTACTAACTATCCAAACAATCCTCATCATTATGCTTTCATTGAATAAAACTTATATTTACTAACAATTGCGTTCTTACAGGCGAGTGGTAAGCTTTTAGTTTTGGATCAACTGCTAAAGAGGCTCCATGAGATTGGACATCGTGTACTCCTATTTTCTCAAATGACCTCTACACTTGACATTTTGCAGGTTTTGTTGTAGAGAAAGTTTATTTCCTGTAACGTCTGTGCTGCATAGCTGACACTGACTTGTAGCTTAGACCAAATACAGGATTTTATGGAGCTTCGTAGATATTCTTATGAGCGCCTTGATGGATCAGTACGGGCTGAAGAACGTTTTGCTGCCATAAAGAAGTTCAGTGCGAAAACAGAAAGAGGATTGGATTCTGAAGCTGATGCAAGCAATGCCTTTGTTTTCATGATCTCAACAAGAGCAGGGGGAGTCGGTTTGAATCTTGTTGCTGCTGACACTGTTCGTTATTTCTGACATTTTTTTCCTTATTTATATCTTGCGGAAATGACATACATCGACATAGCGAAAGATAAGTATAGTTTGATTCTAATGCTTATTTGAGTGTTTTTAATATGCAGGTTATATTTTATGAACAAGATTGGAACCCGCAAGTAGATAAGCAAGCTTTGCAACGAGCTCATCGGATTGGACAAATCAGTCACGTGCTGTCTATAAACCTCGTTACTGAACATACTGTCGAAGAGGTATGTTGTCGTAGTGTTATCAAAAACTAAGTCCAGTCACTAAGTCATGAAAATGTATTATCAAAAACTAAATGTGTGTCGATGCAGGTTATTTTGCGGAGGGCAGAGCGAAAGTTGCAGCTTAGCCATAATGTTGTGGGAGATAATTTGGAAGAGAAAGAAGAAGATCGCGGTGATTTGCGGTCTCTAGTGTTTGGTTTACAAAGATTTGATCCTGAGGAGATTCGAAATGAAGAATCTGATAACCTGAAAATGGTGGAAATAAGTTCTCTTGCTGAGAAAGTTGTTGCAATACGTCAAAACGTTGAACTGGATAACGAAGCAAGAAAGTTTGAAATGAATTCGAGTGACACTTTACGAGGAAATTTGTCATCTGCAAGTCTAAATGCCGAGCTTGATGAAGCTTCATACCTTTCGTGGGTTGAGAAATTGAAGGAAGCAGCTCGGTCAAGCAAGGATGACCAAATTCTGGAGTTGGGTAACAGAAAGAACATATCTGAAGAAAGACATCTGAGAGTTGAGGCAGCCAGGAAAAAGGCCGAAGAGAAGAAGTTAGCCAATTGGGAAGCACACGGTTATCTGTCTTTGTCTGTAGAAGATCCGGTTTTCCCTGATGATGTTGATTCCAGGTCCGATGCAGGATCTGTTCACTTCGTTTATGGAGACTGTACGCATCCATCAACCGTCTCTCAGGAGCCAGCAATCATATTCAGGTAAAAAACTTCATTTTATTTGTTCTACTAAAAACCAAATCTCAACTAGCTCTGAAACTTGCAAATATTTATTTATGGTAGCTGTGTTGATGACTCTGGAAACTGGGGACGTGGAGGAATGTTTGATGCACTGTCAAAAGTTTCTAACACCGTACCTGATGCGTATCATCGCGCATCTGAATTTAAAGACCTTCATCTTGGAGACCTGCATCTCATTAAAATTGATGGTCTGCTACTTTCTGTTTTCGATAATCCTTTCTGGTTTTCTAATAACCTCACTGAGTAGTACTCATCCTAGCTCACTTTTTTCCTGTTGTGCAGACAATGATGATGAAGAAAACACAGAAGAAAGCAAATCTCTTTGGGTGGCACTTGCAGTTACACAATCTTATTACCCGAGGCGTAAAGTCCCTCGTAGTAGCATTTTAATTCCAGACCTTGAACGTTGCTTAGCCAAAGCTTCATTCGCTGCTTCTCAGAACTCAGGTATAAAAAAACTTTATTGCTTTCTTTAAAAAAAAAGGTGTTCACAAAGTGCTTAACTTTTGTTTTACGTTCTGATAATATCCCTCTCCTCGAATAGCTTCGCTACACATGCCACGTATCGGTTACCAAGACGGATCAGATCGATCTCAATGGTACACCGTTGAGCGTCTTCTCCGCAAATACTCGTCCATTTTCGCCGTGAAAATATTCGTGTAAGTACATTGTTTGTCTTTCTTTTGCCGTCTTCTTGAATCGGATAATCCGAAAGCAAGCTCATTTCTGTTGCTTTCTTGCAGGTACTATTACCGTCGATCTACCTAATGCTCTCAGCTCACACAATCTCCACTTCTTGTACTACTTTGCTCTGTATCAAAGTGTTAACAATGTACAAGAATGTAAAAACGTTGTCGTTTTGTCGTAGTGTCATATTTAATTGGGCCCAATAGTTGTATCGGCCCATATACAGATCCTAATCTTTATAATCGATTCGTCTCATCTTGATCTCTGAGCCAATGTACACGTGTTGCGTGTCCACTGCCTCTTCGTCAATTTTTTTTGTGCGGTTTATAAAATAAATCTGGTCGTTTTTCAACAGTTTTTTCCCCGGGGGGTTAAGAAATGATCGGAATCATTGAAGGTGGGTCATTGTTGTGCATATGTTTCGTTTTGATCCGACGTTCTTAAAGCTCCAGGTACCTTCCTGAATTTTCCCGGTTGATTCTTCTTCCTGAATCGTTTCTTCGCAATTTTTAGTTTGGATCCGGTCATCAACTTTGTTGATTATTTGCCATCGATGATGAATTTAGGGTTTGGCTTCGATGGAGCTTTGATTGTTCACTTGCATGTTCTCAATTTTCTAATGTTGCTGCTTATACGGAATCTAGACTCTTCCCGCTGGATTTCCTTAACTTTCACGTTTTTTGTTTTGTAATTTATTATTCGGATTTTGTCTGTATGTTAAGTTACCTTCGATAATCCCATGGAAATTAGGAAATTTAAGTTTTCATATTGATTGGCAAAGCAAGCAGAGGCTTAGTCTTTGAATATAGGAAGAGGAGGAATTTCAGTTGTTTTAATAAAAATGAGAAATTCGGTCTAGAGAACACATATCTGTTGCTTTTATTTGATTCTGTGTTTGTTCTTGTTGTTAGAAATTGATCAGAATGGGAGAAGCTGGTCAAGCCAGAGACGGAGAATCTATCATGCCTCTTGTTGTAAGTATTGTGGCCTTGATGTCTTCCTTCCTTTTCTCGCCTTTTAACATATACTTTCAGGAGTTATACTTTCTATATGTTCAATAGGACTTTGTTTTGAGTAAGAGGAAATTAGTAATTGTTTTGTACAATGGGCCTTTCTAATATCTGTACGAATCTCAGGGCGGTGGGACTGGGGACAATGGGGTTCCACCACAAATGTTTAATTCTTTACCAGCTCTCAATGAAGCTACTTCTTATATAACCCAAGCAACGTCTTACTTGGGCAGCTGTTTTTCTGACTATTCAGGTACTCTTTCTTTCTCTTTGTTGCTGATGTACGCAACAGCACATTTCCACGTTCATCTGCTAGACTTTCATCATAGCAGATGTCTTATGACTCTAGGATGTTATTTCTTTCACTGTATGGTAATCTCGTCACCATATAATAACTTGGGATTTCACTTAGACTCTGTTCTTCCGATGTTTTCTTCAGTGGAATATGGTGGTAAGGATTCGTGTAATTCTATTTCCCAACCCCATGAATTGCTACGGACAACATCAGGAGTTGACGGGAATTCCCCAGTAAGCGTATGCATTTCTCCTGGTGAAAGGTGTTCAACTTCTTCAGAGGCATCTACATCTGCAGAAAGCCCATCAAGGGAATCTACAGAGTCTCTGCCGCAGGCAACAAATGCAATAGTGACATGGAATCGCTTAAATTTAAATGGAGCTTCAATGTTCCAAGGGTATGTATTCTTTATATGTCAGATTCAAATTCCCCATACTAATAAAATGGAAGTAACTTATACTATGAAGTGAACTGAAGCATTGCAACAGTCTCTGTACACTGCTTCTTTTGGTCAGGTTTTCAGCATTTGGGTGATTGATCTGTTTTCTTTTTACCAGGCTCATTGAGCGGGCACGGAGGACTGTCCGTGGCTCGGCAGATGACATAGGATGGTTACAGCGCGACGCAGAGATGCCTCCTGTTGAAGATGGAACTGATAGGTTCAATTATATTCTGGATGAGATAGGGTATGGGATTGGTTGTAGCTGCATGTTTAATGTACTTGGGTCTTTGTATTATGCTGATTTTACTAAATGGCTGCGTTGATCGGTTTTTCATTTCCAGGCATGGTGTACACAGGCTTCCAAATACAGTGGTGTACTTGTTGGTCCCAGGTAGCAATTATTACTCTTACCTGCAGCCACTGAGACTACATTACTGTATGTTTTAGTACTCATAGAAGAAGTTGAAAAAAACAAAATTTTCAGGTCTTTTCAGCAATCATGGACCTCTATATTTTGTGGATACGAAAACGAAATTCTCAAAGATGGGTTTGGCCTGTCATATTGCGAAGATCCACAGCGAGGTAATCATAAATAACTCAACATATAACAGTTACATTTGGTGTGTAGCATACTCTGATATACGGAAAAATGTTTGTATCAGTCTTCGGTTGAGAAAAATGCGAAAGAGATAAAGGAATACATAGAGGAACTCTGTTGGGGATCTAATAAAAAAGTTCTACTTCTCGGGCATAGCAAAGGAGGTATAGATGCAGCTGCTGCTTTATCTCTGTACTGGCCTGATCTAAAGGATAAGGTCGCTGGCTTGGTATTGGCACAGAGTCCATATGGTGGAAGCCCTATAGCCACAGATATTCTCCGAGAAGGACAACTCGGTGATTATGTCAATTTGAGAAAGCTCATGGAGATTATGATCTCCAAAGTCATAAAGGTTTGCATCAAGTCTCTTCTTCACCTAACAAAATAATTTCAGATGCATTCTAGTGGTCTCTGTTAGGTAGAATTGAACTGGAAAATATATTTGAAAATGACATTTCACAACTAGCACTTGTTACCTTTAGGTTTATGTATTAGTAATAAAGTTTTAGTTTTAATAATTGAAGGATTGTAGAGATTAGTGTATTTTTAGTCATAAAGTATAAAGATTTGCTATATCTGATTATTTTAGTTTCGCCTGTGAAGGGTGATATTCAAGCTTTGGAAGATTTAACATACGAGAGAAGAAAAGAGTTCTTGAAGAATCATCCGCTTCCTCGTGAACTCCCCACGGTTTCATTCCGCACAGAAGCTAGCATAAGCCCAGCCGTTCTCGCCACTTTATCACATGTCGCACACGCTGAACTTCCTCTCACAAACCAAGCCACAAAACTCCCAGTGGTAATGCCACTTGGTGCTGCAATGGCTGCTTGCGCTCAGCTACTTCAAGTCAGATATGGCGAAAAGAGTGACGGTCTCGTGACTTGCTGCGACGCAGAGGTTCCTGGTTCAGTGGTTGTTAGACCCAAACGTAAACTAGACCATGCCTGGATGGTTTACTCTTCCTTGAACGAGGCTGCTTTAGAAGCTGATGCTGCTCAAGTTTGTGAAGCTCTCTTGACATTACTTGTCCAAGTTGAAGAAGAGAAGCAACGTAATACCAAGAACGATTGATAAACGTTGTGTTTTTTCTTTCTACTTTCGTCTTGAGACTTTTGAATTGTTATATTTTTAGTAGTAGTACTACTGTATTCCTTTTTAATCGTCTACAATTCACACGCCAGTTTAGTGTCACTACGGAGGTTCCTGGTTCAGCTGTTATCAAAAACTTGATTGCTTTCTTAAAAGAAAAGAAAAAAAAAGTGTTCCCAAAGTGCTTAACGTTTGTTTTACGTTCTGATAATATCCCTCTCCTCTAAAAAGCTTCGCTACACATGCCACGTATCGGTTGCCAAGACGGATCATCATATCGATCTCAATGGTACACACACAGTTGAGCGTCGTCTTCGCAAATACTCCTCCATTTTCGCCCTGGAAATATTCTGTGTAAGTTTCGTTTGTCTTTCTACTTCGTCTTCTTCAATCGGATAATCCGAAGGAAGCAAACTCATTTCTGTTGCTTTCTTGCAGGTACTATTACCGTCGATCTACCTAATGCTCTCTCTCAGCTCACAATCTCCACTTCTTTTGCTACTTACTCCGGATCAAAGTGTTAACAATGTTACAATACGTTGTCGTTATAATTAGGCCCAATAGTTTGTATCGGCCCAAATACAGATCCTAAAATCTTTATAATCGAGTCGTCTCATCTCTGAGTCGTTGCGGGTCCACTGCCTCTTGTCATTATAATTGGGCCCAATAGTCACACTTGTTTATTGTTGACACAGAAAAATCTAAAAAAAAGGTCAAAACTTGTTTATACAAAGGTAGACAAAAAAAGAAAAGTCAAACAGGTTTCTTTTTCCCGCGGGTTAAAGAAACATTGAAGTATGGTCGTCGTCGTTGTGACTTGTTTAGTCAAACTTGTTTATACTAAAAGTCAAACTTATTTAGAATTGATAAATATGGGAAAGCAAGCAGATCGAGGCTTAGTCTTTTTTGAGTTGTTTTTTTCATAAAGAGAACACATATCTGTTTGCTTTTATTTGATCAGAATGGGAGAAGCTGGTCAAGGAGTATCTGTCACGCCTCTTGCTGTAAGTATTGTGGCCTTGGTGACTTCCTTTTAAGATATGCTTTTAGGACTTATACTTTCCGCAGGAGTTATACTTTCTATATGTTCAATAGGAACAATTAAATATGTTTTCCAAAATTGGTTATTGTTTGGTTCTCCATGCATGAGACTGCCTTTCTAATATCTGTACGAATCTCAGCTGGGAGGTGGTGTTCCACCACCAAGGTCTAATTTAAATGGAAAGTTCCGAAGGTATGTATTCTTTGTATGTCAGATATATAATTTGCCCATGCTAATAAGAGAAATGGAAGATGTTAATACTATGAAATGTGAAATGAAGCATTGCAAATGCACACACTGCTTCTTTTTGTCAGGTTTTCAGCATTTAGGTGATTGATCTGTTTTATTTTTATTTTTCAGGCTCCGTGAGCGGGTACGGAGGACTTTCCGTGGCTCGGCATCTGACATAGGATGGTTACAGCGCGACCCGGAGATGCCTCCTGTCGAAGATGGAACTGATAGGTTCGATTATATTCTGGATGAGATCAGGTATGGGATTGGTTGTAGCTGCATATATAGTTTATGTACTCAAGTCTTGTTGTATCATGCTGATTTTACTAAATGGCTGCGTTGATCGGTTTTTCATTTCCAGGAATGGTGAACACAGGCTTCCAAATACTATGGTGTACTTGTTGGTTCCAGGTAGCAATTCTTACTCTTACATGCAGCCACTTAGAGTACACAACTGTATGTTGTAGAACTCATAGAAGTTGTTGAAAAAAAAAACAATAATTTCAGGTCTTTTTAGCAATCATGGACCTCTATATTTTGTGGATACCAAAAAGAAATTCTTAAAGATGGGGTTGGCATGTCATATTGCGAAAATTCAGAGTGAGGTAATCATAAATAACTCAAACTTATTACAGTTACATTTGGTGTATAGCATACTCTGATATACGGAAAATGTTTATATATATATCAGTCTACGGTTGAGGACAATGCGAAAGGGATAAAGGAATACATAGAGGAACTCTATACTGGCTATAATAAAAAAATTCTAATTCTTGGGCATAGCAAAGGAGGTATAGATGCAGCTGCTGCTTTATCTCTATACTGGCCTGATCTAAAGGATAAGGTCGCTGGCTTGGTATTTGCACAAAGTCCATATGGTGGAAGCCCTATAGCCACAGATATTCTCCGAGAAGGTGTACTCGGTAAATATGTCAGTATGGGAAAGCTCACGGAGATTGTGATCAAGAAAGTCCTAAAGGTTTGCAACAAAGTCTCTGCTTTACCTAACAAAAAATAATTTCAGATGCATTATATATATTGGTCTCTTGTTTAGTAGAATGAACATGTTTGTTCATATTTACACAGATACCTTTAGGTTTTATCTATTAGTAATAGAGTTTTAGTTGGATTGTAGAAATTAGTGTATTTTGTTAGTCATGAAGTATAAAGATTTGCTATATCGGATGATTTTTACATTTGGCCTGTGAAGGGTGATATTGAAGCGTTGAAAGATTTAACATACGAGAGAAGAAAAGAGTTCTTGAAGAATCATCCGCTTCCTCGTGAACTCACCACGGTTTCATTCCGCACAGTAGCTAGCAAAAGCCCAGCGGCTCTCGCCACTTTATCACGCGTCGCAAATGCCGAAATTCCTTTCACAAACCAAACCACAAAAATCCCAGTGGTATTGCCACTTGGTGCTGTAATGGCTGTTTGCGCTCTGCTGCTGAAAGTCAGATACCGCGAAAAGAGTGACGGTCTCGTGACTTGCTGCGACGCAGAGGTTCCTGGTTCAGTGGTTGTTAGACCCAAACGTAAACTAGACCATGCCTGGATGGTTTACTCTTCCTTGAAAAAGGCTACTTCAAAAGCTGATGCTGCTCAAGTTTGTGAAGCTCTCTTGACATTACTTGTCCAAGTTGAGGAAGAGAAGCAACGTAATAAACTCGCGACCAACAACGATTGATAAACGTG